AAAGGAAGTCCAAAAGCTTACTGAAGAAAATATTTCCTTAAAAATTAGAATGGAGAAATTGGAAGCTAGTGACAATTTGAGAAATCAAGGCACTGTAACACTAATCCAAAGGAATGAAAAAATAGAAGAGAATGTGAAATATCTCATTGGAAAAAACAACTGACCTGGAAAATAGATCCAGGAGACAGAACTTAAAAATTATTGGACTATCTGAAAGCCATGATCAAAAAAAAGAGCCTAGACATCATCTTTCAATAAATTATCAAGGAAAACTGCCCTGATATTTTAGAACCACAGGGCAAAAATATCAGGACAGTTTTCCTTCATGATTTCTTGAAATAGAAATTGAAAGAATTCACTGATCACCTCCTGAAAGAGATCCCCAAAAGAAAACTCCTAGGAATGTTGTAGCCAAATTCCAGAATTCTCAGGTCAAGGAGAAGATATTGCAAGTAGCCAGAAGGAAACAATTCAAGTATTGTGGAAACACAATCAGGATAACACAAAATTTAGCAGCTTCTACATTAAGGGTCCAGAGGGCACGGAATATGATATTCCAGAGGGCAAAGGAGATAGGACTACAATGAAGAATCACCTACCCAGCAAAACTGAGTATAATCTTTCAGGGTGAAAAATGGTCATTCAATGAAATAGGGGACTTTCAAGCATTCCTGTGGAAAAGACCAGAGCTGAATAGAAAATTTGACTTTCAAGACTCAAGTGAAACATGGAAGAGGTAAACAGGAAAGAGAAATCATAAGAGAGTTATTAAGGTTGACCTGTTTACATTCTTGCAGGGAAAGATGATATTTGTAACTCATGAGTCCTTTGTCAGTATTAGGGTAGTGGGAGGGAAAAAATTATATGTATGTATAGATAGACAGACAGATAGATGATAGATAGATAGATAGATAGATAGATAGATAGAGAGTACAGGGTGAGTTGAAGATGAAGGAGTGTTAACTGGAAAATAAAATTAAGGGGTGAGAGGATTATATTGGGAGAAGGAGAAAAGGAGAAGTAGAATGGGATAAAATATCTCACATGAAACAGACAAGAAAAGCCTTTTACAGTGGAGGGGAAATGGGTGAAGGTGAGAGGGAATGAGTGAATCTTATTCTCATAGAATTTGGCTTAAGGAGGGAATAACATACACAATGGGGTATGGAAATCTATCTTACCCTATAGGAAAATAAGGGGGGAAGGGGACAAGAGAGCAGGGAGTTGATAGAGGGGAGGGCAGATTGGGGGAGGGGATAATCAAAAGCAAACACTTCTGAGGAGGGACAGGGTCAAAAGAGAGAATAGAACAAATGGGGGGGTAGGATAAGATGAAGGGAAATATACTTAGTTTTTCACAACAGGACTACTATGGAAGTGTTTTGCATGACTGCACATCTATAACCTGTATTGAGATGCTTGCCTTTTCAACAAGGGTGGGTGGGGAGGGAGGAAGGGAGAAAATTTGTAACCCAAAGTTTTAAAAACACATGTTAAAAATAAAAATTTTTAAAAAAAGAAAATTTAAAAAAAATTTTTAAAAAGTCAGATGAAGAAATAAGGTTTGTGGGAAAGAAATTTCGTTTAGTTTTAAGACATTTAAGTTTAAGGTATCAGAGAGATATTCAGATGGAGATATGGATGTGGAATTCGAGAGAGAGAGATTAAGACCAGAACTGTGATTTGGTCATAAAAATGGATGCATATAAAACAAAAACAAACAATACAAGACGATGTGATTAAGGGCTACATTTTGTCTCACTGGCTTTTAGTTCTTTCTTCTTAATGAATGTAGAATGTGCCAACCTATTATACTATAGTCTGAAATAGTTTTATACTAAGCCAGAAATCCAAAATATCCATTTCCAAATTGGATACCACAAACTAATTTTTTTCATTACCTTATACTTGTGATAACCCTTAAAGATTAGAAAGTTTATATCCATCTTCATAAGCTGAACATAACCAGTTATTTTTTAAAGTCTATTGATTAGTTATAAATCTTATTTTAAGATACAGTTTTAGAAGATCCAGTAATAGCTATTCTGTGAGAACAATTACATTGAAAATATAATCCTGATCCACACAGATGTTATTTCATTCAGGGAGCCATGGTTTTGTGAACATCACTTTTGATTATTCAACTTTGGAGAGATGAAGGTTCATGACCAAGTTTCAAATGAGTCCCTAATACCACACATGCAAATCTGCACCTGCATCCATTTACTCACGCAAAGGATTTCCATTTGCAGGCACAAATTGAGTAATTAAGCAGCTAACTAAAAGATCAGCAAATGTAAATGCTTATTAGCCCATCAGCAAATTGATACTCAGGCAGAATTGTCAAGCACAGTTTACAGCCCCATTTTGTTTCCCCTTGCAAAGTGAAATAAAATGCTAATCCTGCCTTGGATTTTCTAAGTTTCATAATATAGCTGCTGACCAAACTGTCATAATGCTATAAGTAGAGCTGTTACCAGGAATTTTTGCACCCTAGGCAAGTAACACAAACCACATCCAGGAAAACTACCATGTAGTATGCCCTCAGCTACATGAAGAGTTGTGGGAGAGAGAAAAGGTAGGGAAGGGGAACCTACCATCTGATAGTTTCCTTTTTAAATGATTTATTCTTATTAACTAGATACTAAGTTATTTTGTTTTGGTGATGCTGGAGGACGACAAGTGTTGTCAGCACTCTCTTATTTTTGAACTCTCCAAATTTGGCACCCTGAGACAAAGCTCCATTCACCCTGCCCTAGTTACAGCTCTGGCTAAGGAACTCTAAAAGTATTTCTAAATGAATTTTACATAAAGATTTCACCGAACTGGCAGAATCTCATTATTTAAAGTGACCTTACAGGCAACTAGTCCAATCTGTACCTAAACAAGAATCCCCACAACAATATACCTGACAAGAGTAAGCCAGTCCTTGCTTTAAGTGAGGAAGACCCCATTGCCTCCCAAGGCAGCTCACTTCAGATCTAATTATTGGTATATATGCTTTCTCATGATACCCGGCACTTATGTGATACTCCAGAGTTAATGAAGTGCTTTCTTCATGTACTATGGGGACTACACACATACCAATTCAGTGACACATCCAAAATGAATAGTACTCCAATCCCCATTTTAGTTCAATCCTCATTTTATAGACAAAGATGCTGAGTCCCAGCGAAAGGGAACAAAAATAAAATAAAAAACAGGCCGCAGTCTACTTTGCTACTCTAAACTGCCAGCTTTGGAAATTGGGATTAAAAAAAAAAGATCTAGCCGTTCTATGGAGTAAGTCTAATTAGTGAAAATTAATAAATATCTACATAAAATCGGTTCACACTATGAAGGAGGTATAGTTAAGCAACAATTCATGTGCAAAAGAACTTAGGGGTTTTAGTGAAATGAAAACTCAGTGTCTTGCATAATGGAAAATACTCCATACTAGGAACAAAGGTAAACTGGAATCTGAATTCTGGCTTTAGCAAATGCTATCTATGTGATCATAGACAAGATGCTTACCCTCATTGAAACTCAGTTTCCTCATCTGTAAAATGGAGATAATAATCTGTCACCTACCCCTACCTCACAGAGTTATTATGAGAAATATACTTTGTAAATCTTATAGATTATATAAATGTGAACTGTAAGTATTATCAACAATATGCTGTCACAGCCAAAAAGCTACTGTAATTTTAGGCTAAATTAGTCAAAGTATAATTTCCTAAATGAAAGAAGTTAGAATGCTAGAGTACTCTTCCTGGGCCAGAATCCATGCAGAATAATGTATTCTTGGTGCTGTGTTTTCAGAAAGGCAGATGGGAGGATACAGGGGGAAGTGGTGACCAGGATAGTGAAGGGACTAGAAACCATGATGGAGCATTTAAAAGAATCAGAAAAGCTTAACCTGGAAAAGAAAAAGTTGGGGACATGATAGATGTCATATTATTTGAAAGGTTGTTATATAGGAGAGGGATTAGAATTGGTATGCTTGTAATATTAGGGGAATATTAGGGGCAAGGGATGGTAGCCTCAGAGCAGCAGATATCAGTTTAATATAAGAAAAAATATCTGAAGATTAGAGCTATTCAAGAATAGAACGAGCTACCTTCACAGATACTGAGTTCTACCTCACTGTGGACCTTCCAAAAGAAGCTGGATGACTCCCTATTTGTGGTATTATAGAGATGATTCCTGCTCAGGGGTTGGATGGGTTGAAGTAAATGACTTCTGAGGTTCCTGCTAACTAAGAGAATCCATGATTCCATTTTTAAAAAATTCCAAGAAAGAAATTCATGGAAATCCAAGACAATCTATTCTTTCAAGAAATTATTATTCAAATTTATTCTAATAGACTTCCTTTGATTACTTTCCACTGAAATAAAGAATTTCATTAGAAATAGAAAACAATTACTTTGCTTTGAACTCATGAATGCCTTGTCCTGGCCCTGGAGCACACATAAGTTTGTGTTTCAAATAGAAAATGAATGTACAAATGGAGCCCTGTGGACATTGAAATTTATCCTCCCTCATATTAAGTGATTACCTTTTATACTCCATTTATTTGAGATAATGAAAATAAATGGACTATTCATGGTATCTGCTTGAAATTGTTTTCCTTTAAGGAGTAAATTTATAGCCAAGGATGTATTCAAAATGGTTTGAACATACTTTTTTTCTTTAACCAGCTTAACACGAAATTTGATAGATTATTTTAGACCAGTGGCTCTTGTGTGATTGTTGATTATAAACCTACTAAATACACATAAGCTTAATAAAAGTCAATTAAATAATATATATAATTGCACATGAATTTTTCTCCAAAGAATAAAAAAATTGGGCTTTTATTTTGTGTAAAATCTTTGGCTTTTTATCTTCATTACCATCTGCCACTGGACCACTTATATATCTTCTCTTAAGTCTATGAAATTAAATTCCAAGTCTTAAATAAGATTTTCTTCTAAATAAATATTCTAAAAGTTCATTTCTGTTCTTCCTAGCATACTTACAGTGTGCCCTCTAATTGGCTTTTCAGATTTCTCCAGTTTCCTTCTGTTCCTCTTCGAGTTACTCTTATTATCTAAAAAAAAAAGTACTCCAAATTCAGTAAGCCAGTACTCGCACATCATATAAACATGTCAATTTCATTTCTTAGCTCTTGGTTCCCATCATTATAGAAAATTAATACAGTATTGATTTACAATAACTAACATTTATATAGCCCTTGAAAGTCTGGAAGTTATCTAGTCTGAATCTAATAACAACCCAGTGAAGTATGTTCTAAAGGCACAATTATCTCCATTTTACAGATAAGGAAACTGAGCTGAAGAGAGGAAAGATGACTTGACAATGGTCCCAAAGCTAGTTAAGTGCCAGAGAGAGGATTTGAACCCAGCTTTGTCTGGTATTCTATCCTCTAAGTCACATGATGATTATTTGTATAAAAAATGTTTTTTCTATATTAATGTGATTATAGTAAAATGGATATTTTATCACAGCAATCAACAAGTAGTTTCAAAGTACTTAGTATGTACTGGGCACTGTATTAAGTGCTGGGGATTCAAGAAAAAGCTAAAATAGACTCAGCCCTCAAAGAGCCAATTTAATAACATATTTTTTAATGCAATGGTCTAACAAACAATTATTACGAAGCTAGTGGTCTCAGCACCTGCCTTAATAAAAAGGACTACACAATTTAGCTTTTTTTTTTTCAGGGAGGGAGGTGACCAGACTAATTTCATCGGCATATGAACTCATAGTGAAGAACCCCACCTACCAAAGCAGACTGGCATGTTCTCTGCAACTCACAGTTTGAGACAGTTGTCTGGGGCACCAAGAGGCCAAGTGATTTGCCCAGGCTCACGTGATCACTGTGTGTTGGAGACAGGACTTGAAACCAAGTCTTCCTGGCTTCAAAGCCAGCTCTGTAGTCACTAGCCAGGCTGTTTCTACATTTTAAAATGTTAGTAATCACATAATTGTAGAAATAATTGAGACCAGGGACCTCAAATGTGAAACTGACCAAACTGTAAGCTAGAAATAGTCAACATGCCACAAGAATGTGGGATGGACATTCTAAATGTTATCAATACTTCTATGGATGTGATCTCATTGATGTGGATACTCAATTCAGTCAATCTAAAGAAAAACCAATCCATGCTTCCTCACCAGTGGGAATCTTGTTCATGCCTTCCCATAAATGCTTCATCCCCAAGAGCTAGAATTAACATGCAGAAATGAAGGCTTTGCTAAAGCATAGGTACGGAAGGAACATGTTTCCTCTACTCCAATAATGCCCACTCCATTCTGTCTGTATCTTTGTTGCTGTCTTCTATGGATTTCTAGTTTACTTCCCTCCTCCTTAATAGATGCAATACCTGGCTCACAGTCTTCTTCCCCACCCCATCCCACACACCATTCAAACCCTCTGCTATTTTCTTAATTTCCCCAATTCTCATGACCTCTGTTTCCAGGTTATCTCATCTATGTAAGTAATGGTCAGTCTTAGTTTTTTACTTCCCTTAACCCAATGCTTCAGCTACCCTGAATTTGCTCCAGGTACAGTAATTCCTAACTAGAATTCTAACCACCTAATGTGTTGGGGCCTTCCCCTAAATCTCTTGACAGTAGATGTATATCAATGGAGCACTCATGCTGTCCAGCAGTTATCTCTTGCTCTCTATCAGTGCCTATCAATAATCAAATATTTATTCATCATCTCCTCTGTTCAAGACTCTATACTATGTGCTATGATGATGACAGAAATGCAAGACATTGAATTTTAACTTGGAGACAAGTCAAATCAACAAGCATTTATGTGCCTATTATGTTTTTTTTTAATTTTCCCTTTTTATTACATTAATACATATTTATGGAATAAAACAAGCATTTCCATAATATAGTACAATAAAATATGTACAACAAAATATAATTGTATATGAAACTACAGATCTACTATACACAACTTGCTATTCTTCTCAAATATACAACAAAATTGTCATGTAAATTTCTTTTTTTCCCTTTTTTTCTACTCTCTCCCACCCTTCCCTAGAGATGGCTACCATTAGATACAAATAGGTATATATATGTAAAAGTATTCTATACATACTTCTATTTATCAGTTCTTTCTCTGGATGTAGATAGCATCTTTCTTCATATATCCTTTATAGTTAATTTGAGTATTTATAATAGTCAAAATAACTGATTCACTCAAAGTTGTTCTTAAAACAATATTGCTATTAGTGTATACAATGTTCTATTGGTTCTGCTCACTTCACTCTTCATTATTTTATGCAAATCTTTCCATGTTTTTCTAAGATCTTTGAGCTCGTTATTTCTCATAGCACAGAAGCATTTCATCACAATCATATACCAAAACTTGTTCAGCCATTCCCCAATTGATGGGCATTCCTACAATTTCCACTTCAAAGAGAGCTGCTGTAAACATTTTAGAAAATACAGATTCTTTTCTTTTTTCCCTAATCATCTTTGGAAATAGACCTAGTAGTAGCATTGCTGGGTCAAAGGCTACATGTAGTTTTATAACTCTTTGGGCATAATTCCAGATTGCCATCCAAAATGATTGGATCAATTCACATTTCTACCAGTTTTTGTCCCAATTTTTTGACATCTCCTCCAACATTTGTTGCTTTCCCCTGCAATCATTTTAGTCAATCTGGTAGGCATAAAAAGATATCTCAAGGCTGTTTTAATTAACATTTCTCTAATCAATAATGATTTAGAGCATTTTTTCATATGACTGTAAATTGTTTTGATTTTTTCGCTGGAAAACTGCCTATTCATATCCTTTGACCATTTATCAATTGGGGAATGTCTTGTATTCTTATAGATTTGACAAAGTTCTTAATATATTTTTATGTGAGATCTTTATCTGATAAACTGTCTATAAAATTTTTCCCAAAATTTCTGCTTTCCTTCTGATCTTGGCTATTTTTTTTATTTGCACAAAACCTTTTTAATTTAATGTAATCAAAATTATCTACTTTACACCTACCTTTGCTTTCTATCTCTTATTTAATTATAAATTGTTAACCTATCCATAAGTCTGATAAGTAATATGATCTATGTTCTTCTAATTTCCTTGTAATATCTCTCTTTATATCAGGTCATGTGTCCATTTTGACTTTATCTTGGTTAATGGCATAAGATATTGCTCTATGCCCAGTTTCGGCCTTACTGCTTTCCAGTTTCCCCAATAATTTTTTTTACCAAATAATGTTTTCTTATCCCCAAATCTTAAGTCTTTACACTTGTCAAATGCAAGGTTATTATGTTTACTTGCTGCTGTAAATTATATGTCTACTCTATTCCATTGATCTACCTTTCTATTTCTTAGCTGGTACCAGATAGTTTTGATACTTACTGCCTATAATATAGTTTAGGATTTGGTACTGCTGAACCTCCTTCCTTTACTTTTTTCCATTATTTGATTTTACATTCTTGAATTCTTATTCTCCCAAATGAATTTTTTTCTAATTCAGTAAAATAATTTTTGATAATTTAATTGGGATGGCATTGAATATATAAATTAGTTTAAGTAAAGTTGTCATTTTTATTGTATTGGCCCTGCCAATAAAATGTCTATTATGTTAAGCACTGTGTTAGGTAGTAGGGCTACAAAGAAAGGCAAGATTCAGTTCTGGCTCTCAAGGGGCTTATGATCTAATGGGGGAGACAATGCAAACAACTATGTACAAACAAGATACATACAGGATCCATTGGAAATAATTAAGAAAGAAAGCTCTAGAATTAAGAAGGATTGAGGAAAGCTTCTTGGCATTTTAGCTAGAACTTAAAGAAATCCAGGGAAATTAACAGGTAAAGAATTCCAGGTATGGGAGACAACCAATCAAAAGACCTGAGTTCAAGCTCTGCCTCTTCAACTTTCACCTTAAGCAAGCCACTCAACCTTCATGGGTCTCTTTGTTACCACAATCAGATAAAAAGGGAAGTAGAACTGTGGGACAGGAAGTCAGCAGCTGTCAACAATAATCCTGATGGGAGCACCAGACTCTCTCTCATTCTGATGCTGCCCATATGCAACAGAGAAATCCCTGATCTCTGGGCTGGTGTTAGACTAGTCTATCATACTGTGCTAGTAGAACTTTTTGTTTTGGGAAAAAAAAGAAGACGAAGAAGAAGAAGCCCAGAAGAGCCAGGTGAGGCCTCTTTGTGGCACAGCAGTGGGGTCTGAAGGAGTCTTGTTACATGGGTGGCTTTTGCTATGAGTCTGTATTTGTATTTCCCTGTATTATATGTGTATCTCTGAGGAAAGTTTAAACACTGAGCCCTTAGACTCATAACACACTAGAGAACTGTGTGAAGACTCTGTATCTATCAGAAGGTCATTGCATTCTAGTCAATCCCTTCTGGGCTTTTCCTTATTCTGTCAGGCAGGCCTATAGCAGGAGCTGTAAGACCCTTGCAATCAGTGATTGTGAAACCCTGACACTCAGGTTTGTTATCTTCTGTAGAATGAGTGAATTAGACTAGAAAAATCTTTAAAACTCCTCTCTGTTCTAATAATCTATGAGTCTTAGTCTGTCAAGGATTAACAATCTAGTTAGAAGGCATAATATAGAAGACATGTTTAATTAATGTCTTTTCTATCACATCTAGGGACTATGTCAATGCACCTTCAGAGGTCTGGAATTCCAGGACTTGAAAAGAGTTCTATAACCCATAACCTCAGCAAATTCAAAAATTATTGCTTGACATTTTCCCTAAAGTATTTTTAAAAGTAAAATTATAAAAATATCAAGAAATAGTCTAACATGTAACATCTTGTTCAGCCTGGATTGCAAAAGATTATTAATGCAGTTGGGTTGAGTTTGGTTTGGTTTGGACTCATCAAACTCAGTGGAATTCTAGGAAATCTTATCTGTGAGTTTTTTGTTTGGACTTTTTAGAAGTGAAAAGTCTTAATGAAGTTGCAGCTTAAAAATGTTGGCATCTGAACACATCAAGACAAGGGAAAGGTATTTTGTCTAGGGACAGACATATAGAGGGCACGATAAGAAATGCTTTGTAATAGTAATAACAATTTTTATAATTACATGT